TGTAGATACTATTATTATTGCCTTCTGGTATTAAAGTTCCATGAAAATTATTGTTAAAAAACTAATACACGATAAAGACAACACTCGAGTAATGTTGCTTGAACATAAAAGCGACCGTGGGACTTTCCATTAGAATACTTCTCACAGAAAAAACAGCTTCTGCAACGCTGGCATCTTTCATGGCCAACAAACATGTTATTTCCTTCTGGATGGGACTCAGAGGGAACAAGTCTGATTTGATAAATTGATCCAAAGTACTTTCTTCTGAGTTAGGCTGGGCAACAAGCCCACTCCATTATTACTGTAGAACTCATCTGTTGCAAGCTGGGCTCCTCCCCCACCCCACATTTCCCATGTCACGCTGCATTTTTCTCCATTTACGCTGTGTGATGTGCACAGGAGGGCAGGGTCAGACATGAGAATGGAACTACTGGGCTCTGAAACCATGAGGTACACAGCATTGAAACCAGTTTTTTTTTTACAGTAGGCTTCCCAGCCCCTTCCTCCCAGCCCCTGCACAGCTCAGCAGCGATGCAGTACGGGAGGACGTGGGGTCTGCCTGTGCTGCATTTGCTCTGCAGGCAACTTAACCTGCAAGGCCAGAGGAGAGGTGTGCCTTGGGACAGTGCTTAGCACAACCATACCATATGAAAGGCAATAAATACAGAGTATTACTGACCTTACATGAAATAAAAATAAAATTTATAAACAAAAAACTAGGGCAGAAAGTAATCAAATGAATTCAATTAAAAACAATTTCCCCAAGATATTGCTTTTTATAAGCATTTTTTTCATTTCAGGATGTTTTTCCCTCCTATAGCATGAAAGGAAACATACATCGGAACACTGGAATTTAGTGTTAAGCTGAATTTTTGTTAAATTTAGTTAAGCTGTGCTAGGATCTGCTCTGCTTAATAGACATGCTTAGAGAACAAGCTATTCATTGTCACAGAATGTTGTCTATTTGACCTTTATGAATATGACACAAATTAAGTGAAACGCCTGTTTATGCTGGCCTCTCCCAGCCCTCCCAAGGATCAGAGACCACTGTGAGAGGTGSTGTGGCAATGCACTGCAGGACTGTCTGTGCCATCAGAGCCTTGAGACTCCCTGACAAGTCTGAGATCCATTTGCACCATTTGTTGCCTTTACTTTGTCAAATGCTTTACTCATCATTAAAAGATGTAATCTGCTCTTATGCATTTCTGCTTTCCTGTTGTGTTTCCTGTGTCACAGCTGAGGGTGAACAGACCATACAAAACTCTTCGGATACAACAATGAAATATCCTGGCCAAGACAAAATGAGCTCATCCTTGTGATGCATGAAGCCTCACAGCTGACTTGGAAAAAAATATTTAAATCTAATTATTTTCCTAGTTTGATTTAGTGCAAAGTAGAAACTTAGCCTTATTGATAAAGTGTTTTAAAAAGGATGATGTTAAACTATGGTTTCCAAATTTAATTTATTAAAGGACTTCAATGAGAAATGTTTGATTAAGGTGATACCCCCAAGCTAACCACTTCGGCTCAGCAGAGTTAGCCAAAAACCATTTAACCATCTCAGATACATTTAAACATAATTAAATTAAAATGATATTTTACAATGCCTTAAACATTTGCTAGGGAAAGCTAGTTTTGCCAAGATGACAGAACGTTATCCTTAGGCAGTGCTTCTTAAACTGCATGCCAATTTGAGCAGTGGCAAAGATTTCCAGGGCAGGCAAGAACAAGAAATATAGAAGAAAGCTTGATCTGACTTACACTGTGAAACTTGGACCAGATCTTGGTGTACCTACAAACAGCCTTGTCAACTGAAAAAGGGGTGCTGATAACTCACTAGTAGCTCTAAACCAAGACAGGCATTGAGACATCAGCTTCCTGGGGGCATTGTCATAGTTACAGTTAAGGAATAAGTTTTCTAAATACTGATTTACAATTATGTGCAGAGATCGCAAAGTTTTATAGCCAGGAGACACAGTTAAAAGTCACCAAGTCCATGTCTGGATTTGATGCAAATCTCTGAACTGACTTCTCAGAAGACATTCCCATTCAACATCTGCATACAAAGAAAAACCCCTCTCAGTACAGACTCTTCAAAACAACATCTCCTCCCTACACATTAGGCCCAGAAAAGGCTGGTAAGCCAAAAGAACATATTAGGATTCTTTTCCAAGATCAATAAATATTTGGAGTTACAACCAGATTGTGAATCCTCTTCTGCCTTGTGCACCATGTCCAAAAGACCCTTAAAAACTTTGCTCTGCASTGAGCTTGAAAAACTATAAGCTGGGGGAAAAATGTTTAAAGTGAAATACAGAGTGCAAAATCAAACATGTTGAAACAACAAAATAAAATAAGTTAGTTGAAAATTACAGATCTAATCTAAAGCTCAAGTGAAATCAACAGAAAAAGTCCCACTGATTTTGATGGACTTTGGAGTTTTACAAGGCCTCACATCATGTGCCAGGCAGCACAAAACATGTTATTCCCTATGCCTGTTAACCTCTTATTGCATGGAAAAAAAGGTGTTTGCCAAAATAGCAACAGAAAAGGACTAACCACATCCTTTCAGGATGCGCTCAGCACAGGTGCAGAGCAGGATATCCCCGCCTGCTCGTCACCCCTGACTGGCCTGGAGGTGCTCGCACAGGGCAGCAGCTCTGGGTGCCTCAGTGACAGCCTCAGGGGGTGCTGGCACGGCTGCACTGCTGACAAAGTGCTGCTGCACTGGAAGCTGTGATCTTGAAACTCTTGGTTTGGACACGGAGGGGAACATGAACAAACTGGGATATACAGGGCAAATAGCCACATGTGGGGTGCAAGTAGCTGACCCATGAGTGCCCTGGCAGAGGTGCAAGAGAACCTAATAGGCTCTGTCCTAAAGCCAAATGATAGATCTTCCTTCTGCAGAGGAAGAAAGTTCTCCAGAAAGGAACACAAATTTGTGGAGTATGTAAATCTATCCAAAGAGCCAGAGCAGCAATCAGAAATTCTATCTCAGAGTTTCTGGCTCTCTTTCTTCACTCYGCTTTTCTTATTCCCTTTGCAGACAGTCTGGATCCAACCCAGATCTTGCCATGCTTACTGCATCCCAACTCCACAAAGAAAGCACATTGTGACCAAAGGACCAGGCACACACAGCACGCTCCTTCCCCACCCTCCAGGAACATTCAGAGACATGCAGCGCCAACAGGGTTTTTTCCCTGTAACAGTTACTGGTGGTATCAGCCAAACTGCTGGGGTGAAACAGCCAGCCCGGTAGARCCACTCCTTGTCTCAAGGATATAAATCCTTGACAGGCTCCAGGGAGTGAATTTGCCACTGTCGGCCCCTAAGCTCCTCTTTTTACAACGTGAACCAGCAGGAAAGCAAGCAGGTTCATACTGGAACTGTTTTGTTTTGGCAAAGTTGGAGGGATTTTTTGTCTTGCCTTTGCTTTTTTTTTTCCTCTGGGTTTGGTTTTTTTTTTTTTTTTTATCACAGAAGTGGTTTGTGTTTCGTCTTGGCACTTTCCATCAAAGCAGTTGCATCAGAAAATTCCTGACCAGCTCTAATCTTCATCAGCACAGCTGCGCTGCGGTCACAGCACCACCCACCCTGCTGGCTGCAGCCCCACGACTTCCCCAGGGCGGGCGGCGGGGACAGGTTGGCACTCAGCATGGGTCCCCTGCTCTGTCCCATGGTGGGGACAGGCTGGCACTCAGCATGGGTCCCCTGCTCTGTCCCATGGTGGGGACAGGATGGCACTCAGCTCAGGTCCCCTRCTCTGTCCCATGGTGGGGACARGCTGGCACTCAGCACAGGTCCCCTGCTCTGTCCCACGGTACGGCTGGCTGGCTTTGCAACATAAATGGTGTGGACCATGCTGGGTGCTTATTCCCACACCTGTCACCAAGATCCTTGTCCACCCCCACCTCTGAGTCCCGTGACTGACTCTAACCTCACTTGGGAAAAAAAGCTCTGAATTTTGTTTTAAYACTAGAAAGCAAATTTCTCATGTAGCCTCAGAGAAGATGCTGCCAAAAAGAAGAAAGGGCAAGTAAAAAAGATTTTTTAAAGACCATAAACATAGGTGGTGGCAGCCCCGCAGCAGGGAGAGGAATGATGTGCAGGCACAGGTTTCCAGCACGGGTGGATCCCTGTGCAGGTACTGACTGGCCCTGTGCTCCACCTTGGCTTGCACTATTTGAACAGGAAGTTTGATCAAAACAGAGCTTCCTATTTTACAACTCACAAAATACAAACAGGGTCTGTCAGCAGGTCTTTGCTGTAAACTGGATGGCTCAGCACCTGTTGGAGGCTGGCAGGAAGGCCAGGAGAACTGCYCTCTGCTGGAAAAGGCTCTTCAGAAAAGACTGCAAGCTTACAGAAAAAGCCAACAGCCTTATAATTGTACCGATAATAATTGTAACTAGTAATTTTCACCAATATTGATGCATTTTTTAAACTCAATCTGARTTAGGTGTAAGCCTCTGTTTTACTATCTTCTTGCCACCTCTGCCTCAAATGAGCAAACTGCTGCCCAGTTTATCTTGCCAAATTGCAAATACAGACTGGAACTACATTTGCTACCAGCCGCACCAGCTGCAGCTCCCCAGAASCCTGGATGCATGGAGGTGGCCAGACAGGTTAAAACTGTCATTTCAGAGATCAAAGGTCAACTAACAGACTTGCCCAAAATTATGCCATTGTATTGTTATTACTTCTTTGCTGTGTGCAAGCAGACATTTCAAAATGTTGGCTTTTTTGCTGCATTATATGTTTATGAATTTTATTAGACTAATTTGAAAGATTCAAAATGATGAATAAATTGCTACTCTGTTTGCTTTATCTGCTATTGCAGCCTATGCCCAACAGATGTTATGTATGAAATTCAAATTACATCTTCAAATGGAGCATGACTTGGTAATGAATAATTCAAGACATATACTGAAAATTAGAATGCTGTTTTTAAACAGTGTGTTTCTTAGCAGAGGCAACGTCAGTGGAAAAATACTCACCTATTTATCTGGCCATTTTCCACCTCTGTGAAATCATTTGAATCATTGCTGATGTTATCATCTTCAGGGACAGTCATATTCTGCAATTCAGTCAGTTCTAATCCAGCTTTGAAAGGCATGTTGAGCGAGGAACTGCGCCTGTTCGAGTGGTTCTTCAAATACTAATGTTTGGTTTGTATCTTGCGAGTAAACTGCAGCCACAGTGTCAGCAACCTAAATAAAACAAAAGAAAAAAATCCACGATGTACACCACCAACCACAGGCAACGTCACCAGAAGAAACCAGCGCAACCTGCGCAGGAGGGACCACCCAATTTTGTATTGTTAGACAGACCTCAGGTTATGACCTAAATGCACTTGGTGCAGAACAGTAGTAACCCTGTATGTCTTAATGAGATCAACCTCACCAACCTTACAAATTTACCCTGTCCTGCAATCAATTGCTGAAGACAGTATTTAAAAAAAAAAACTTGTAAGCAAACCAAGCCCATTTGTTTCAGAAAAAAAGATTAACCTGCTACAAATCAAGGAATAAAAAATATTTGTATGTCCAAGTCCCAATTCGATATTTGGATTTTGTCTTCCATATGTCCTCCATTCTTAACTGAAAATATAAAATACATGCTCATGCTGATGCTAAGCAGGATAGAAAGAGGGATAGATTTATCCCAATACTTTGTTCTACTGTGTTCCAATCTGTTAAGGATTTTTGGGAAAGGAGAAGTGCAGAGGACGCTTTGTTTAGTTTTTTATAGGGGTAAACTCATTACGAACAAGGAGAGTAACACAAAAAACCCCAAATCCCGAAGCTCATGTATCAAAGAAAGAAAGAGTAAAGTATACCTTGTGTCGAGCAGTTATTATCTAGAGATCAGGTGATCTTTCCTCTGATAGATGTGTTCCACAAAATCACCGAGAATAACACCAAAGGCAGATCAGAGAAGCCTGCTACAGTGACATACTTCCTCATCAGCATTGCAAATCAACTGAAAGACCAATATTTTCCGGAGTCCAACCTCTCGGCTGAGCTACAACTCCAGCGTGGTAGTGAGGCAACAGCATGTTACTCACAAACAAGCTCCTGCACCACAATACTCTCAATTCCCATTCTGTGAATGAGTTTCCTGCAGTATTGCCAAACAACTACTCAGCCCGGAGTACATGGTRTATCTTCAGATGCCAGATTAATCTGGGGATATTTTTAAATCCTCAGGGCTACCTTAGAGCCATCAAACTGCTTGCATGCAACCAAAGAGGCTGGAGCATCCCCAGCTCTTGCAGAGGGAGAGAGGAGGATGTAGTTCACTTGTTCAGTTATGACATCTGCCTGTTTCACATTAGATTTACAGAAGCTAGTACTTCTGTTTTACACCACATCCCTACCACGAAGACTGCTTTGCAAACGAGCAGCTTTTTCCCGGTAAATACTTTCTCCGAAATGCCATTTTAAAATTTACATGTGCTCTTAACAACTCCTCAAGGGCCCACCCTGTCCAAACTTCAGCTGCCAAGTTTAAATGGTAGCCTGGAGGCTAACAACAGGGCAGGATCCCTTCTCTTCTCCTGAAGGAGCAGCTGGGCATGTGATTATGGCAGACAGGACCTGGTGCAAGGGTAGTTTGGGGCATGTGAGCTGGGTACTTTTCAACTCCTCTGCAAAAGAGATTTCCACTACAGATACCAGCAGAAAACTGCTCAGGTATTAAAATGTTGGCACAGTTAAATGTTAAAAAAAAAAATTGATTGAGGCTGCTGATAAATAAATGCAGACTGGCAAGCAGAGGGTGGTTTTAGTGTTCTGGAACAGTCTTCCCAGAGGCTGCAGGGATAAAATAGTCTACCTATTTTGGAAGAGAAGCACGATCTTTTTATAAAAGGATAAAGCCACAGGAGACGGCGACTGCTGAGGTGGCAAGGACCAAGTCCACTGAATCTTGCAGTTTCTTGTGACTATGATTTCCTAAAATAAACAATTTCTTAAGAGACCAGGCAACCTCTGTACCAGGATCTGTGTCCCCTGGCATTTAAAAACCTGTGTAAAGGTTYATCTGAGATTCAAGCAGAGAAGCTTTTTCTTTGGGCACCATTTTGCCCAGAAGGATTTCCAGAACTGCTTTGACATTGCCTGTGCTTAATAAATTCCCCATTAAGTGTTTCAAAGGCTGGTGCTGAAATGAGCAGCTGTGTGAGGTGTGAGGTAAGCAGAGAGCCGGGGGCACAGCTCACTGATGTGCGGCCCCAGCTTTACCCTCGGCCCCTCTGCCACCGAAACACTGCACGGCCAGACCAGCAGGAGCACAGCTCCCTGCTTTGTTCCCAAGGATAAGCACAAAAGTGACAAGCTTTGTGATTCAACCAAAACTCTGCTTCTACAGAAAATTAATTGAATGAAGCACTTGTCACAAGGACGTGTAGTGATAGGTCAAGGGGGAATGGCTTTAAACTGAAAGAGGACAGGCTTAGTTTGGACGTTAGGGAGAAATTCTTTACTATGAGGGTGGTGACACACTGGAACAGGTTGCCCAGAGAAGTTGTGGATGCTCCATCTCTGGAACAGGCAGATAGGATAGGACTTTGCACAACCTGGTGTGCAAAGGTGTGCTTGCCCATGRCAGGGGGGTTGGAACAAGATGATCTCGAAGGTCTTTTCCAACCCAAACCCTTCTATGATTCTATAAGACAGAGCAAAATCTTAGAGCAAGCTGAAGCACCAGCAATCATTTCAGCAGATTCCATGTTTCAGTCAGACAAGCTGCCCCTGAAGCAGCAGGACAGTGGGCACATCTCTGAACATGCCTCACGTTCTTGCTAGCATAAGGAACCACTAAAACAAAACCCTGAAACAAACAAACAAAARTCTTGAATGAAATAATGCATTCCAAGCACTCCCAAGTATGAGAAAACCTGATCTCAGTGTCAAAACATGAGGGTGAGGAGAGAGTGATGGGGCTGGGAACTGAAGTTTTCATTGCCATGGCATGAACTCATCACAGATCTTTAGCAAAGCAAAACMAACATGTCCTTAGCACCTCCTCCTATAAAATTAATATGATATTAGTGACATTAATGCACAGTTTGTGAAGTGCTTGAAGATTCAGAGACAAAGGGTCATCCAAGTGTGATACCTGGAATAAATCMCTATGCAAATCAAAAAATTTTTGCAATGGTAACTTTATCTTAGAGATATACAGAAAAAAACTTTGTCATTGCTAATTACTCTGGGCACCCTCCACAGTCAATGGAGTAGAGATGGTCACATGAGTTTCATCCCCAAACCACCKACTCTAAACTTCAAGTTCACCCATGTGACAAATTGCAGAGTCTAAATAAAATCTAAAATCCCAGAGGTTAGGGTTCATGCCAACCAGCTTCATTCCTTTAAGTCAAGTGTCCACTCCAGGCCTGTCCCTTGGCCTCTCTACAGCAGAGCCTGGTGCTGCTGGAGGACAACCCATGCTGATCCATGGGAGGGGTCTGCAGTCACATGGAGCTGCTCTTCCCTGCTGCTTTTCCCCAAACAGCTTTGTTTGAAGGGGAGATTCAATGCTGGGACAGCTCAGCTAAGCCAGTTGCCACCTCAGGTATAGGTGCCACTAGCGCTATGGGAAAAAAACCAAAATTGCTTCAACTAATAAAAATTCACCATATGTTGATGCAGAGTGATATTGGAAGCATCAGGGTAGTATTTGTACTTTTATGGCCTTTTCATTCAAGAAATGTCACAAAAGAAATGCAAATAAAAATGCTATGTTGGCATTTTTAGAGCTCCTAGAGCTCCTAGGCTGAGCTTTATTCCTAATTCACGCTGAAAGACAGCAAATAATCATGTGAATAGTGACTGCAGAACTCCCAATCACCTCAGCTACTAAGCCTACTACTCTGTCCAGCCTTAAACCTCTCAAAAGGAAAACTTCCAGAGATCTGCCATCTAACTTCTCTTTCCAGATGCACACACAGTAAATCATAAAGGACAAATCAGACTTTTGCTCTCACTTCAGATTTTTCTGCTCAGATGGGCAAACACTCCTTCTTGAAGAAGGAACCACCTGAAGAGAAAACTAGGAAAACGATAATGACCCTTCGAAAGGAAACTCAAGGGTCTGTGTTTGGTAGCTGACCCAGCCCCTCGGTTTAGCAGACAAAGCACTGCCCTGGCCTAGGAGCTTAGCTTTCTCTTTAAACATCCCATGATACGTCCTGTAAAACCCTTGTAAAACAGATAATTTATTTGTTGTTCCTTGAGGAATATGGGAAAGGTTACAACTGGTCACAACTTCAGGAGGACTAAGACATGACACAGGAAGATAAAATGAAGTTGTTTTTTTTCAAGGACACTGARACCTTCACAAGCCATTAAAACACATTCCAAGAACTGTGATCATTTTCTCTGTTGACTTCCGAAACATAAAAAAATCCCTGCAACTCCAGTTTTCTGGACTGTTAAAATTCCTCAAGACTAGTAATGGGATCCAAAATTTTGTATTTAAAAGAAATATAATACAGACAATCTATCTTTATTTCTTCTGGTTCATGCATAAATCCTTTCTAGGCTGTACCCAGAAGAGATGTAATCTGAGAAAACACTTCACTGGAAGCTGTGTTTCTAAAAGGAATGTCATCACTCCTGGTAGTAATCACGCTGGCTTAATTCACGTGTCATTTTTTTTCGTATCCTGTAAATGATTCAGGTCAAAAAGCATCATCTTAAGGCACATGGCTGCCCAAAAGCTGACCCAATATGCGAGAGGCATTTGGGCAAGTGATCGAGCTGGACAACATCCTGTCCATCTCGGGGTATGGTTTTCACACTCCCTGGGCCCTTCATTCACTGTGAGCTTCCTGCAGTCAAACTATCTTGGGGTCGGTAAATATGCAAGACATACTAAGCACTTTTAACTATGGAATTCCAGATAATTTGCTCAAAAGATGAAATGTGACTCAACTTTCTTCTCAAAGGGAGTTTTGCCAAGAACTCCTCTTAGTTGGTTACAAGTCATCAGAACCCAGCACTTGAGTATCACACAAGCTGTTTTTATTCCTGCAAAGCCTGAAATGCGGTATGTCTTCCTTTGCTCATACTTTTGAAAGTTCTTTCAAAGAAGAGCAATATGACCAGTAAGAAACCATGGCTATAAATAATGAAACACTGAGCCTGAAACTCTGSGTAAGGACTATTCACTCAAATGACAAAAAGCAAGAATAGGCTTTATACGTAACAGTATCACATTGGGAGGCGGGGAAGCAACTATCTCCTTTTCGTTCCGCATTAGTGACACCTGACATGAGGAACATAAAGCTCCAGATTTACTTCTCATCCACAGGAAGGACAAAATGGAGAGATTAGAGAAGAGCCACTGAGATAACAAAGAGCCTGGAAATTAAAGACTGACTCACATCCACTGAGCAAACATCTGCAGCGCTTGAAATGTCATTGCCTCCAGCTCCTCAGCTCTGCCCCTCTGCAGCAGGATGCAGCCATAGGAGCGGTGGAAGGAAGCGGGTTCACCCCGGTGGTGTCCCGGCTGGGTGCCACAGAGAACCAACGAGGCGGTRGCACACACGTGTCCTGCCCATGGCAGACGGTGCCAGGATGAGGGCAGTGTGGTGGCCCGAAAGCCTTCGTGCTGCTGCAGCTGCTCGCCCGGTGGCTGCAAACCAACACCTCCCACCCCCAGGCTCCTCTCTCTCACAGCCCCCACGGCATGCAGGATACAAACAGTTAAAAGATAAGGKGGAGGGCGGAGAAAACAAGTGACAGAAGCCTTGGGAAGGAAGCTCAGAAAAGGACGCTATAAAACAGAAGCGATGAGAACAAATGTGGATTTGACAACCTTTCTCTTGGCAGTGCATGACCTTGTGCTGCAACAGGAAAATGTCTGTGCTCTGCCCCATCACTCTCCACACTGCCCTTCCATGCTGCCACAAAGAAAGAGAAGACAGTCCCAAATTAAGTCTCAACAGGCTACTCAGCTGATCAAAGGCAGGCAAATAAGAAACGATAAAATCCCAGTCTGATTCACCCAGTGATTCATTACTTTAGGCAAAACACTTAAAGATGAGCCATAAAGGAAAATGGTTTTAAGTACATTTTTGTTTTGAGCCCTTCCCAGTCAATTTGAGAAAGGCATTTGGCAGAGGAATATAGTCACATTTTTTTCCTAATTGTATTTATTTGTGAAATCCTCTTGACAGTCTTGGTTTTCAGAAGAGATCCCACAATGCACCGCCACAAATAAACGCACCCCTGTCTTCCACAGAAAGTGGAAATGCTGTTCAAGTGGGGCTTTATAGCTCACTGCAACAAAACACACTATGCAGATGTTTTTGTAAGGGTTAAATAGCAGCTCTGAAATTCCCATTTAAATAAATTTTGTACTACAGAAGGAAGAATCCTTTGTATAAGTTCATGTGTAACTCACTTTCCTTCTGCCCCAGCTTGCGAGTAATTTCTCTGCCTCGGTTTTCTTGATTGTAAGAGASTCAGCAATATTTGCCTGATAAGCTTAGACAAATATTACCAGAGTTAACTGCAAAACATGAAAAAGCTGCCATTTTTCCCAAGAGCAGCTGCTCAAACTTCTTGGATTGGATTAAGGTCACAGCAGTAAGTATACATCAGAAAGGAAACTGAATTCAGGCTTAAAATATTTAAATATTCCCACAACATCTCATTTTCCGTCCCAATACAAACTTTTAAATGATGGTTATTGTCATGCTACTTGCTACACATTTTCCTACAGAAATGAGCAAAATGCTGAAGAGAGAGAGGAGAGCACAGGAGGAAGGAGAGTCCCATTTCTGCTCGGTCTGCTCTGCTCTTACCCTGCTAAAGAACAAGCTCCCAAAACAGCAACCACAGACAAAATGTAGGACAGAGAGGCAGGATGAGCAGCTGCAAGCTCGAAGGCCGAGAGAGCCCAGCCTCCCCTTCCATCCTTTAAAACTCTTGTAAAGAGCAGGATCTGGGCACGAAGGACGGTTGATCCTCCATGTTTTACGGCAGACTGCAGAAAGCCTCAAACAACTCGGGGGATAATCCCCTGCACGGGTAKGTGCAGCTTGGCGCTCACTGCCAACAACTCCAGCCCATCCTCACCCAGGCTGGAGAGCTCAGTTGGTCCAACCACAGCATAAATAGTCTCAAGTGACAAGACAGAGGATGCTGCAGTGTGCTTCAGTCAAGTGCTCTCTCTATGGTGCCTCTTAAAAAGAAAAAAACCCGACCTTCCAAAAAAGTAAAGTCAAATAGGAGTCATTCAGTACGACAGTGAAGCAGATCCCATTTTAGTCAGTGAATTTCCACCAGGGCTCAGCAGAAGGCCTCTCCTTACCAGCAATATGGCAGTTCGGAGATATCATCCAGGTTTTGCAAAGCAGATTTCAGCACCATTTCGGCAGGGGTTGCTAGCCTGAAAAGGGTACTTATTGATACCTACACCATTCAGCAACAGATGGAATACTCTTTAGAGGCTTTTTAAACAAAGTTGGTGTTTTGGTAGCAAATGAAGTAAAATTTAGGTGGAGGATGCTGCRTCTTTCTTCCCTTGTAGCTGTTTTTACTCCTGATGTATGAAGGTTAAACAGAGAATGTAGGGGTGTTTTTTCTTATTTCTGGAATATATTTTATCAACTAACAAGTATTTTTTTCTTACACTTTACTTTTAGAACAATGGCTGTTCTATATTATTTTGCCTTTCAAGCACATCTACAAGCCAAACAAACCAAAAGRTTAACGAAACACCGCAAAGCACAGGTTCCCATTTATAATTTGGATTAGAGGCTGGTAGAAATGCCCAGCAACAATGTGGGACGCTGAACAGCCTAAGGACACGAGGTGAGTTCAGCTGGTGGCACAAGGAGACTRTCGCTTCACCTTCCATAAAACAAGCTGCCAGATCTGGGGTTTATTTCAGTCCTTCCAATGTCACAGAAAGTACGGCTTTACGCACCTCACCATCTCCTCTTTCACACCGAGAGAGACATATCCTAGCTACAGGTTGCATTACGAACTCTGCGAAACAATGGAACAAGCCCCCTGCCACAAGAGCGAGCTGGACGCACACACACGTGAGCCAAAGCACACCCGACCACTCGCTCCGGCCTCTTTTTGTTCTCGCCTTGCTCATTAAAAGCGACCACCTCAGCTGTTACTATGTATTTACGGGCCACGCGTGCGCGCCATGGGCCCAGCCTGCATTTTCTGAATACCAGAAAATACCGACCCCAYGGCAGCGCTGGGTTTAAGGGAAAGGCAGGAACCCGTGGGGGCTGCGGCACCCGCGACCCGGCCGTCATCAGGAGCAAACTCAATTATTACTAATTTTTTTTTTCGCTGCTAGAGGCAGCCCGTAGCCGCCGACTGCCAGGTTTTGTTGTATTTCTGGGGTTTTTTGTTTGTTTGCGCGTTTGTGGGTTTTTTCCATGCCCGCCTCAGCAGCCGGCTAGGGCAGCATCGCCCCCCGCCTCCGGCACGGCAACGCGCCCCAGCCGCGGGAGATRCCGCATGGCCGCCCCGTCCCCGCGTCCCCTCCGCCCCGCCGRRCTCCGCCAGCCCCTCCCGGCCCGCTGCGCGCATTTTTAGGTTTGCGCTGGGCAGCATCGCGGATGAGGAGACACGTTTTGCGGGGCGCGGGGGAGGGCTGCGCAGACGGCGGGGACAAAGCGCGGGCGGCGGCGGGCTCCGGGCTCCGGCCCGCGCTGCGCGGTCGCGGCGCCGAGACAAAGGGTGCGCGGGGAGCCGCGGCCCCATCGCTCCCATTGCAATAGCTGCTGCCTACCTTCCCCAGGAGCCGCGGGGATCCTCGGAGAAGCGATCCACCCTTTCCGCTGGGAGCCGGTCGGAGCACCCCCACAAATAATTACAGAGATAACGGTAAAATTAAATTTAAAACCGAAAAGAAATAACAAGAAGAAAGAGGGGTGAGGATGGGTGGAAATTAAATTGGCGAAAGGAAAACGGCGAGGCAGATGCCCTTCCTCCTCCCGCCGCGGGTATGCTCATGTGGAGGTGGGCGGGCCAGGCGCGGGAGCGCGCAGGACGCGGGAGCGMGCTGAACCAGGTGCTGCGGGCACAGAGCCCCCGCCGCGCCGCCCCGCGGACCGGCCGCTCACGCGTGTCCGAGCAGGGACCCACGGGCCCCCGATGTCCCCAGCTCCTCGGCCGCATGGACGGAAAACAAACAGTTTTTGTCTATTTCTTTTCACTCCACTGTTGGCCACCGGAGAACTCTTCTGGCCGTTTTTTTTTAAATACCTACGGGAGATCTGGCATTACCGTGTTACCCGATTTCCGTTTTTGTCATGCAAAATGTGTATGCTGAAAATGCCTTTTGTGCAAGCGGTCAGAGCATTTCCTGCTGGGGCAAGACACCTTCCTCAAAATCAGCGGGGAATTCGATGCCCAGATTATTTGCTGCAGCTTGTTGTTACCGTACTGATCTCTAGAAAACATTGTGTGAGGTTTTTGGCTTGGAAAAAACTTTTTAAGAATTAACCTGAAGCAAGATGGTATTGCAGCTGTCCTTGGCTTCCCCCCTTGCAGAACACATGACTAGCATGGGATATCACAAGGCAAAGAATGAAAGGATGATGGAGCGTGTGGCTTTGGGGGCAGTTTGCCTGGCCACGTATGGAGGGTAATGGCAGTGCTTTCAGGAGCTTCTTGAGGTGCTTGCTCTGGAATTTCCACTGCTGGGTCTCCTAAATGTCAGGCCAAAAAGGCAGATGACACACATGAAGAATTGTGGTTTTCAAATTACTGGCTTTGCATATACAAATTGGATTCCTGTTTTAGTGTTTTCACCTTTTTTTTTTTTTTTTTTTTTTTTTTTTTTTTTTTTTTTTTTTTTTTTTTTTTTTTTTTTTTTTTTTTTTTTTTTTTTTTTTTTTCCCCTCAATAGGGCAGTTCACAGAACAGTTTGGGTTGAAAGGACTTTAAAGGTCATCTAGTCCAACCCCTGCAATGAAGAGAGACATCATCAACTACATCAGGTTGCTCAGAGCCCCATCCAGACTGACCGTGAATGTTTCCAGGGATAGARCACTCACCACCTCTTCCAGGGAAAACTCTTCCACTGTTTCACCACCCTCTTTTTCCTTGTAACTGATCTAAATTGACCCTCCTTCAGTTTAGAACGATCACCCCTTGTCCTCTTGCAACAGGCCCTGCTAGAAGTTTGTCACTCTTTCTTGCAGCGGATGAGGTACATTGCTGTAGGGAATAAGAGGAAACTACTTTGTTTCTTAAAAAAAAAACATGTATCATGCTATCAGGTGAATGATCATTGATTTGACGTGTTCTGCTATCACCTTTCCTTTAGGAGTTGTAAAGGCAGGCTATTTGATTCTTACCTTGTCCTGCACATTCTTAGAATCAAGGTCATTACTTTTCATAGAATTTTGAAGAAAAAAAAAATATATATCTTAACGCAGCTCCACAAAAATGATGGCGCTTCATAGAAATTTTATTTTACTGTAAAGCTATTTTACTTTGCACCTTTAGTAATTCAAATTTCTCTACTCTTCCTCTCAAAATCTCTCMGATTTCTTATCACTGTTGGTTCTGTTTGCCTCGATATGCTATGAAACGTTGATGCTTGTGGAAAGCATCTTCTAGTTCTAGGTTTTACGGTTTCTTTGTAAGCTTTTTTTCAACAGGTTTTCATGGCATTCACTTCTTATTGACCCCATTTACTCCTCCTGTGTCTTTCTTTTTATTCTTTTCACTCATAATCTCATTCCTATATCTGGTTTAGAGATATACCAGAAAGATTCTGGAATTTACCTTTGTATTTTTCTTTCTATTGCCTGTCTCAAACTGATAATTCTCTCCTTGGATGCCTTTCAATGCAGTTTATTTTATCTAGTCAAAATGGACCCTCTTTTCTTTCCCTTGAAGTATCCCTGAGCCTTTCAGTGTTTGTGGTAACACCATTCTCATCCTTCTTTTGTTCAGACCTGGAACTTCCAAATATCCTTTAGATTATATTTTGCCTGCCTAAAATGAATCAACAGCCATGTTCTTTTTCAGAACTACCCTCTGAAGTGCAATGTTCTTCCAGAGTCTGAAAACTCCCTGCTGTACTGTCCTTCAAAAATTTATGCTTATTCACTAACTTACACTGGGTAATGGAAACTACTGCTTTGCAACAAAAAATATATCAACGTAATAAAAGTTAACTTAAATCAAAAGACACCAAATACTTTTTTGGCTGACTAAATTATCACACATGTGAATATTTAACGATTTTCTCCATGCAGTTTTAGAATGCTGTTTGATTTGGCGTGCATTTCATTGAAAGTGGGGCTCATTTGGCTTCTTTGTTGTCTTTTGCTTCCAAATTGCAGCAAAGCTTACCAGACATTCCAGACACAATTCTTGCACCTGAAACAAAGCTGATGACAGAGCATCATTAATTTTGTATGATTATCCATTCAACTATTTTACCCTCGGGCAAATATACGGCTACAGCCCAGGGGAATGGAATTGCTGGAGTGGGAGGTGCCTGTGCCTGGGGCAGACGAAWTCATGGCTGATGTGACAAGCCTGACAGGTGGAACTGGAGGTGCTTGCAGAGCTCTCTTCACCTCTATTTTAGTGCATCTGTCATTGGCATGCTTGAACTTATGTGTTAGTGCTTGTGTGAAAGAGAGGGGAATAAAAGAGAACAGATAAGAAGTATAAAGCTAGCTGAAGAAGAAAAATCCTGTGCTTTTCAGAGAAGTTACTTGCTGCCAAAAAGTGACCTTGAACGTCTTTCTTGTCTCTGACTGCTCTTCAAGAGTGGTAAAGAGTAATGAGGAAGCAAAGGATGTAGGCAACGGCTATTTTTGAACCTGAGTGCTACATCTAAATCGAGTTGAACTAAAATGCACGTAGAATAGAATTTTGGGAGGTTTTTTTTTTTTTGTTGTTGTTCCCTGGTTTTGTTTTTTGTAAAGAGGAATTTGTATCCATTTGCTGCGGAGCCCACAAGCTCAGGTTTGATAATTCGGTGTCTAAGCCGTGGGCTGCTCACAGGAGGGGGCAGTACCGGGCCTCTTAAAGGAAGCAATTAGACCGGCAGATCCCTTTCTCCACAAGGTTTCACAGAGACTGTGGGATCGAAAAGTGTTGCAGATGTGCCGCAAGGACAAAATATTGGTACCTGCTTGGGCTGGGTGTGGTTCAAGCCCAAACATACCGCGGAMTTGCTGAGGTGGGTGAAGTCTTTCAGGGTGGAACAGCAATGTATTGACTGCACAGTACAATTTTTTTTCTTGGAAATAAAGTACGTCTTTCAACAAATATGTATGGATTCTCTAATCTGCCATGCCAGGGTTTGCTAGCAAACAAAAAGAAAGATTTCTTGGATATCTATCACCATATTAAGAGCCTTCTGGTGCTAGCAGGGTCCCGACGCCGAGTCTGTGACATTAACAGAGGAGGATATTTTGCCTGGCAGCTGAGCAAGGGAGAACATCATTGACTGCGATACATAATGTACGATCTGTACATGACTGGTCTTGTGCGATGCTCTGAAAAGAACTGCCCACACTTGTCACAGATTTCGTGAACACTGATAGCATCAACTGTGTTTAAACATGTGTTCAGCCGCCTCCAACGCTGCATGTTGAGACAATCAGTTTTTCAGGGCTGTGAAATCTTGCATGCATGTCTGTAAGGCTGTGACCATGAGATGTTATCATTCGTTAGTTTCCTGGCCAAAGTACGGTACACAACTGATGATGAGTAATCCTGGTTTAAGAGGAGTTGTCCTCTGCTCTTCCTCTTTAGATTCAGGAATTCATGCAACAAACCAGGTAGTTGTGCCTTTTCTCCTTTGCTCCTGATCATCTGCTCTAAGTCTTTTTTTGGTCAGAACAAGTATTTTACTGGGATACAAAGTTTTCAAATTTCTTGCATGAGGCTAAGGAAATAGCAGTGGCTAAAACAGAAGAGATTTGTAAATATGATAGATGTCTGTAGTGATAGTAAAAGTTTCATTTAAACACACTTTAAAAGTAGGTGTAAAAAATGCTCTTTTATGTACTTGCCTTGAAGGTGTTGCTTCTTGACGTCAATTTATAGTGCTGTAGACCAGTTTATATGGTGTGACTGGCCCATAAAACTTTGATCTTTATGAAATGAGTAAATTCAGACTCAGTTGGTGGTGACCAGGATGCTGAGTTGTGTTACAACATAAAGATGAGAGCCTCTCTCCTTTTCCCCTGAAAAGGATGGGTTTTGCCATTCCATTTGTATAGAGTAACTTCAAGAGCTTGCTTAGCATCTGGAGGGATAGTACCTGTGATGTCATGTTGTTAGAAAGTGTCCTGGCAAATTGTGACTCCTAGTCCCAGCATATAGGGCATAGCTAKGGAGAATGGGATGTGTCTATAAATATGAAATAATTGGTAATTGTTGTGAATTAATTTTTATACTAAAAATACTTAGTTATGTATTGTATTAAATTATACTAAAGATAATTTATTTAATCTGGGGCTGGCCTGCTAGTGCAGAGCCCAGTAATTGAATTTGCTTCTGTTAAAAAAAAAGATAGATTAAAAGATATATATGTATATATGAAAGAAAAAAAAATGAAAGCTTAATTCAGAATTTGTGTGCTAGATATTATATATTGAAATCCATATCATTAATTAAAAGCTTTTGAAGTTGCTAAGCATATCTTACTACTGCTTAAATCTATGGGAATTGAGGGAACTCAGTATCTTTAGAAATCAGAATGCTCATTTCTCTGACTATGTGCGAAATTAGATGCTGACCTTTAAGGATCCAGGTTATATATACTGATATTAGGGTWATCCTGAAATAATATGTTCTGCTGATGTCTCACTGTCATGAAACATCGTGAAATGGGAGAATTTGAGAAAAACAAGAATTTTTTTATTTTTATTTTTTTTTATTTTTACAATTCCCTTCTAAWAAGATGACCTAAGTTTTTGAGGGTGGTAGAAAAATTATGAATTATTTGAATCACTGCTGTAAACAAACAACCAATAAAGCTTAGATTTRCACACAAGAAATTCTT